CAACATTATCCTCATTTCATGATACTATAGAAACTGGGGAATTAGAATGACTTGGCCAAGATCCCATAATTATGAAGCTACAGAGCAAAGATATGAACTCAGTTCTGTTGAGTCCCCAGTCCTTGGGCTTGACCATCACACTTCACCGACACTCTTCTATGTTCTTTTCCTTAATAACTATTTAAATTTATTCTCAGGGAATTTGCATATTTTGGAACATCCCCTGATGCTATGGATCCATGGATTTACACTTAACAAAACAATGTGGTTTTTTTCCCCAATGATTGAGACGTATGATAAATAATCTAATATTCACAGATGTAGAAACAGTCCAGGTAATGATTAATCTGAGTCTTTATGAGTTGGAACTCAGTACTGGGGAGAATACCCAGGAACCATTAAATTAGTCATTCTCTCCTCCTAAGTATGATATATATTTTCTAATGCAGATTTGCCCAATGTTTTAATATTTATGAGGCATTTTATAAATATAAGCCTTTCAATGTCTTTGTGAAGATTCATTAACACAATTTTACAGATGAACAAACTAAGAGTCAGAGAGGGTAAGTGATTGCCATGGCCACATAATAAGTATTATCAGCATGTTCCAATTAACTTCTGCTAATTTAAATTTAAAAATTTTACATTAATATAGGAGTGTTCAATTGATAATACATTAGTTAAATTTTTCTATTCTTTCCCAGCCTTAATATTTTATAAATTATTTTGGCTCTTTCACTTGGTCCATCAATTTCATGAATGTACCTTCAGTAAAAATAACTAGGTTCTCTAATAAAATATATGCTTTGTGATAATTATTTTGAAAATGAAAACTTAAAATATTGGAAATATAGAAAAACAGAATAAGCTGAAATACAGTCTCAGAGTAAGGCACTTTAAAGATATCTTAGTGGTTTTAGCTGAAGATAAGTACCACTTGTCCAGGTCAGAAGCATCTGGCCTTTGAGATAAACATCCTGTTACAGCTGGAACCTCAGAGACAGACATACAAATTACTATACTGTTTTTCTTCCTATTTGCTTGAGAAAGTAGCTACCTCCTAAATCAAGCACCAAAGATCATTCTGCGAGGACGCAGTACACTCTGATGTGAATAATAAGAGGTTGAAAGTGGTAATTCCAAATGTTCCGAGCCCTCTTTAGTTTGCCTTTGAAGATGTTGTATCTTTGAATTTATATGAGCATGTTCAAGCACAACATTTCTTGAGTTAACCAGTCCTATATCTTATTTCTTATTCAACTTCAGGGTGTTCTCTATATTGAATTGTCTGGGAGATAGTAAACTAGTGTATTTCTTCATTCTCTAGATCCAGTTCAATAAAGATCTGTTAAGATATTGCCTTTTGTAGTCCAATAATTACTAGAACAAATTACCAGATGCCTTTACTTATTCTGAAAGTTGTTACCTGGCCTAAAAAAAACAATCTCTTTCCAAATCTACTCCCATGAGATCTTCTACCAATCTTATGTTAATATTTAAAGTTCCTCATTAGTACAAAGTTATGTAACTTTTCACACTCGTGAATCCCTTAGACATCTCTAGCTCAGGTTTAACATTATGAATACAGATTTTTGTTGTTTTTTTTAAAAAGGAGGATTCTATTCTTCTTTTGAAGAGTTTTTCTTACGTAAAGCCTTCTGAATCCTTCATACCTCACTATCTCAGCTGTGCACTGAAAGTAATGTTATTTTTCTGTGTTTTTGCACATGGAATGAGAATAGTTCAGGAAAATGCCTCGGTTTACCTCTGAGTTACCTGAAACACATGGAAACCAATGTTTACAATTCTGTATCTTTTGGTCCTTGGAAATGCTCAGGCCTCTTAGCAAAAACATTCTGTCTATAAATTAATGAGGACCAAATCCTCGGGCCATAGCAGAAAATCTCAACCTGGTTCTCTCAATATTCACAGATTTGCTGTATAGAAGCCAATTGATAAGATTGAGGAGCCAGGTACATCTCCTGTTCCCTTCTAGCAGGCAGCCTAGGTTTTCAAAGTTAAGGGAAAAGAATGTATTCACTTATCTAGCTATCCACACATATTCAATGCTTGGCTTCCTAAGGACTATTCATTGGTCTTTATACTTACTACCAACATAAAGGTCCCCTCCCCCTGACCTTTTGTATGTCTGTCTTCTGTCTGTGGAAGAAAAGTTGTAAACCATATAGACAAGAACTATATCTTCCCATGCTGGTCTAGCACCCTACTAGTTCTTACTAGAACATGATATTGAGGAGGGGAGATGGAAGGCATTGCAACTGATAAATGATTCCCCCAAGAGTTATCTCAGTATTTATCATGGTTCATGTTTTATGGGTGGAGAAGCATGGTGGAATGGAGTGGCTGTTAAGTCATGCACATATAAATATAATATGAATCACTGGAAGTTAGAAAATAAAAGTTATAAATGCCACATTATTGACCTAGATTATCCACCTTGGTAGGAGCTGAGATGGGGAGAGTTTGAAGGGCAGGGCAGTGTTTTGTTAAGACTGACGGACTGCTATAATACATTTGAAAGCACAATGATATGCCTAAGATTTAAATTAAATTAAGAATTTAGGCAGGATTCTAAAGAATTCTTTGAAGTTGAAAATATGTATTTTGGAAAAAAATTAGCTTAAATGATTTATAAAAAAATAAAATGAAGAAACATCCTAAATAAGTACCTTCTTTGGGCCAGATACTTTACATATTCTCATTTAATTGTCAAAATAAGCCAGAGGTAAGAAAAATTAGCTCATTTTTTCCCCAAAGAAACTCAGACTCAGGAAGGTAAAGTAACCAGCCCAAGGGCACATTGCTCATGCTCTTTCATCCAACTAGCACCAATTCTATGAATAACCAATCTGCTCAAATATTCATGGAATTTGAATTTAATGTTGGTATCTTTATAGAGTGAGTTAAGGTTCAGTATTAACTTTGAATTTCAGCACTGGATCGTTAGTCAACCATGAATCAGTCAACACTATTTGACCATCATTGGACAAATGATGGGGATATTGAGAATTCTGAAAGAAAATAATATCGTATTCCTGAGGTGGATAGCATCTGAAAGAGAACATAGAATGTGCACAAATCTACAGAGAAAGGTATACACCTACAGAAATATGGATACACTCAGAGTCATTTTGTAAGCAAAACAATGAGAAGGAATTGACTAGTGGTGGATGTTACAATGACCTGGGTTAAGATAGGCTCGATACTTTTATGACTAGAAGTTAATTTTACAGAATTTAAACACGACATAGGTGTCATTATGTGCCAGGCATAATGAACTGAGCGTAAATAATCCTCATTTCAACCTTGTAAAGTAGGTACTAGTTTAAAAAGTAACACCATTCTTCCAAAAATTCTATTAAGTAGGAAGGTTTGGGGGATTGCTATTTAGAACCAGAGTTGCAGTTTAAACACCCTTACAGTCTTAGAATGATTTATGAATGGAGCATTAAACCATGTATCTTTGTAGTGGTTACATTTTCATAATATGGTAAGGCACTCTTGTCCATTTAGGAACAGTTAACTCCCACTGCACAAAATTGCTCATTACATACATTGTTCGTTGTTCAGTGTTGTCTATCCGGTAAGCACTAAGTAATTAGTTATTAAATGATGTCTGTAATAACGTGGAGGGTAAGATATTCTACATCAAAGAAATTCACACTGTCATTACTATTCCATCCCCAAGCTACCAATCCCTTTTCAAATTGAAAAGGTCTTTTTCGCCTAACAGTGTTGCTTTTTCCTGATAATAAAGGCCCACCTCTAAAAACCATCAAGCTACAGCCCATTAAAATGAATGAACATTTTAGAAGCCTGCTAAGGTAATTCCACGTTTTAATGAGGAGGGCAGGGTTCTAGGAATATTTTCACCCCCTTGCCTCGTATAGGTGCTTTCTTACCAGCAGTCTGGAGCGGAGGGTGAGCAGTGTCAGCTTCCACTAAGCACCTCACCCCCCAACACACAAACACACACCCTCAATCTGCTGCCTAATCTTGCAGGCAAGGCACCACGAAATGGGCTCTTTATATATATGCACTTCCACAGCTACCTACATACCCACGCACACGCGTGTGTGCCCATGTAGGGGTGTGTTTTGTATATATGTGGTGTGAGCCCGCGTTGATCTCCCTCTCCTTTCCCTTGACCCCTGGGGAACCTCGGCCGTTCCCGGGAACTCGGGGAATCTCGAGATGAGGCAAATAGCCCTTTTCCCTTCCCTGGTGGCTGGTCCCGCTGGGTCCCATGAATCTGCAATGCTTCGTCTCACAAGCAGCTAATAAAGGGAGACTGAGAAGATGAGCAAGAGGAGAATACATGGACGAGGAAGGGGCCGCTGTACAAGAGACGATGCTTCGCGAGCTACCGAGCTATGACTGCGTTTTTACAGACGAAGCCCCAGGAAGCTGGAGGGGAGGCAAAGAAACTCCAAACCTAAAATCCTCTGAGATTATTTTTCTAATTGCGCCTGGAAACCACTGCTTGGCGTGTGTCCTGAGCGGGGTTCAGGAATCCAGGGAAGCGCCGGCTGAAACTCGCGGCGCGGCATCGGGCACTTTGCGCTTTGGTGGGGTTTGCGCTCCGAAGACGCGTCCACACACCATTTTCCCAGGCGTTGTGCGGGTTTCTTAAACCGCCAGGCTGCTGCCTCAGAAGGGAGTTTCTAGAAGCGCCTATTCTACTGCCTCCCCTCCCCATTTTTTTTTTGGTTTTTACCCCCGCGAGGAGCTTCTCCAGCTCCACTGCGTCCGCCCTCCGAGGGGTACAGGTGCCGCTGTCCCGGCTGCCGCCGCCCCGTCGGCCGACGCCGCCTCCTCCGGGCCGGCCTGGGGGCTTGACCCGGCGCCGCTGCATCTCGAATGGTCTTCTGCCTGGGCGCTGCGGCCGCTGCCCGTCGCCCGGGACTCCCCGCCCTCCCGCGCGACCCCGCGCCCGGGCGGGCGGCGCTTGCGGCGGGCAGGGGGCGGGGAGGGGAGTGGGGGTTCGTCCGGGGGTAGCCGCCTCCTCCGCAGCCTGCCGGCGCCTCGAAACCGGGACCTGCCTCCGCCTTCTCCTCCAGCGGCTCCATCCCGCCCCCCGCGCCTCGTCCTCCCGCCGCCCCCGCCGCCGCGCCCCCGGTGGCTGCCTCGGCGGACCGGGGAGGGGGCCCGCCGCGTCCGCCGCCCGTTCGGCTCGGCCCGGCCGGGGAGGCGTGCATGCCGCTGCTGCCCGCGGCGCTCACCAGCAGCATGCTCTATTTCCAGATGGTGATCATGGCAGGGACGGTGATGCTGGCGTACTACTTCGAGTACACGGACACGTTCACCGTGAACGTGCAGGGCTTCTTCTGCCACGACAGCGCCTACCGCAAGCCCTACCCGGGCCCGGAGGACAGCAGCGCCGTGCCCCCGGTGCTCCTCTACTCGCTGGCCGCCGGGGTCCCCGTGCTCGTGGTAAGCCCGGGGGTGCTCGCCCTCCCCTCCGATCCCTTCTTTCGCCCTTCGCCTTCGGGGTTGAGGCCCCGCGGAGGGTCGGGGCGCGGCAGCCTTTGCCTTCTAAGTTCCTGCAAGTTGTGGGCAGCCCCTTCCCCAGAGGACATTCTTCTAGGGCGCATCAGGGGTGGGTGCGAAGGAAGCCCCCGTCTCTCCCCACATGCCACCCCCGCACCCCCTGCGGTGGCTGCAGTGTGGGGTGACGGGAGGAGGATGGGAGGAAAGGGGTCAGGGCAGGGGAGGAGGTGAGCCTTTGGGATGAATTTTTACTTCTTCCACTCCGTGGCCTTGCTCCGCTGGCCGCCTCCTCTCAGATTGCGCCTGGAAGATGAGCAGCAGCGGGGCCGGCGAGAGGGAAAGGGGGATCAATTGCTGGGGTGTGGAAGGGGCTCCTGCTTCCCGAGTCCGGCCGCGTCTTCCTATGTTACCACCTCTTTCCCTTTCAGATGAATGTGCCAGTGGAACTAAGCTGACCAGAGAACAAATATCTACAAAAATATGTGACAATTCCTAAATGAGAAGGCTCCAGCAACAGCGCTTGCTGAAAAGCAGGAGCTGTGCCTAAATTACAAGATTTATTTAAAGGTTGCTCCACTCTGGGCAGCTTAAGTCCTTTTCTCTTACAGCATCCCTGAGAATACCTTTTGGATTTATGGACTGGTTGTGTCTGTTTATATGGACACACATACACACATATATACACACACACATACATATGTAATTATTAGGATAATAATCACATAATAATTTACATATGTGTATATGGTGCAAAGTTATTGGTAGGAAATGGGTAGTGTTTCCTCAGAAAACATTATGGTTCCTTTAATGTTGTCAGAGTATTGGAGATTCCCGCTCTGTGGTACAGGTTCTCTCTCTCTCTCTCTCTCTCTCTCTCTCTCAAGAGATGACAAAAAGGAAATTAAAAAATGAAGAGGGAAGGGAAAGGGAAGTTTTCTTTTCAGTGGTTGAATGTGTAAATTGCAGTAGTGAATGCTAAGAACATCTGTCATATCTGTTAGGTTGGAATATTCATGTTTTCTTTGACTTTAGGGGAAATGATTTAATAATTTAAAAAATAATGACAAGTTCCTAACACACATAATGGAATTCCATGAACAAACCAAGGAACTTCTTGCTAACTTCAAAGTAACTTTGTTTATCGAAGGTGCTGGGATAGTTGACTTCAAATTCACCTCCAGCATACTGACTTGGAAAGTGTTAGACCTCGCACCAGAAAATGTTCTGTTTTGTTTTTTTAACTGTAATTTGCTAAAATGTGTCAGAAACCCCAAATCCAGCTTCATGTTTGTGTTCTCTCTCTTCCATTTGAAAAGCTGGAAGAGAAAAAAATTGGTCTTTTTGGGGGCTCTTTTTGCTTTCTGTAGTTGTTGGGTTTCCAGGCACATGTTTTTCAGGAGATTGAATAGCTCAGGGATTTTTCAAAGATTTTTTTTTTTTTTGAAAGAAAAAAGCCTGTCACTTTCAGGTCACTGATTGGGTACAACCACAATCGATACTGTCTGTAACTCGTCCTTTGGTAATTACCATTCTGTTCTGTCTTATTTAAATGAGATAGCACTTTTCAGATCCTAACCATCCATCCATGGTGGCAGATGCCAGTTAGAGACAAGAACATATTGGCCCAAAGATTTTGATTATTCTCCACTTAGGGGGAACCTGGGACGGGAAAGGGAATTATTTAGTCATTACTGAGTGCCTGCTCTGTGCTGGGCACTGACTAGTCATAGCCCCATATGCTTCTCAGAGCAGCCCTTCCAGGAGGTATTCTCTCCAATTAACATTTCGGAATCATATAATAAACTAAAAACACCTGAAAACAAAAATGGTGGGTATGGTGTTTGTATGCCCATGGGACTGATGCCAAATGACATGGTACTTCTACTTCCAAAGAATATGTTCTCTGAAAGTAGACGAGAGACGGCTGATGGATAGGCATCTAGAATATAAATTGAGAGATTTTGAAAGGGAGGATCCAATGGGATTTCCATATTTTGACTTTCAGTTCTTTAGTTACAAGACAAGGAATTTGGGAGTCGGTGTGAAGAGAAGAGGTGTTGGGTTTTAGAGGATAGCTGTGCTGCTGGCCTTTGTTCCCCTTTCTGCTCTTCCAAATGATATACTCTCACCATGTGAAAATTTGGGAACAGTAATGGCAGCTCTGCCTTTTCATTCCTCTCAAGAACACTGGCTTAGCACAGTCACTGTGTGTGAAAATAATATTATTAATAATAATATTAGTAGTGCTCATCATTTGTTGAGTTGTATACTTTATACCCATCTAATATTTGCATTATCTATGAAATATTTGCCTTATCTATGAAAGCAATTATTATTATTGTCACCTAACATTTGGGAAAACTGAGGCTTAGAAAGATTAAGTAACTTGCCCAAGGACCATGGCTAAAAATGGTATACCCAGAATTTTACCGCCACTGTGTCAAACTCCCAAGCCTGTGCCTTTTCTATTACAATATACAAATTCAGTTTACTCATAAATCATTCTTCTAAATAAATGCCCCAAACAGTCTCTTTCCCCATCTCTTACATTTCTTGGACTGTAGTGATAAAGATTCTTCATAATATATATTTTTACCCTCAAAACTCATTTATAATCCTTGAAATTAATTTTGAAAAGTAGCTCTCCTCACTATCACAATCTGTGGTTTTCTTGCAGACTTGCCAAATTTATTTATCTAAAACTTAAAAGCAATATATCTTTTCAATTTGTCACTGTTATATAGTGTTGACTTGGACCCAGGTTTGGAGTCTAACAAATTTGGATTCAGATCCAAAGTACCTCCTGCTGCTCTGTTAACAGTTGGGAACTGTACTTGCTGTGTAACCGTGGACAACTTATTTAAGCTTATTAAGCTTTGATTTGCTAAGTCATAAGATTTTGAATAGTAAATGAGATATAATATGCAGATGTCATCCTTGGCCCATAGTTGATACTCCATTATCATTAATGTTATTAATAAAATAATAATTCAGTAAATGTTTATTGAATTCCTGTGTTGTAAGCACCATATCAGGCAGAGTATGGGTTATAAAGGGAACTTCAGAAGTAAACCATGGTCACTGATCCTAAGGAGTTTACAGCCCAGTTTGGGAAATTAGGTAAACATGCCAACGCATATAATATAAATCGTCATAATAAAAGTGTCATGTATACATATATATGTATATAAATATATATGTATCTATATACCACAAAGACCTCTGGTGATTCAGAAGATAGGATTATTTTTATTGGGAGGGGTGAGGAAAGGCTTCCTGAAGAAAATGGTGGCATTTGAGATGTGACTTGAAGGAGAGGCTGAAATGGAGTTTGACTCAGGACGTCACAGAAGCAGCTACGTGAACAACCTGTTGGTAGCAGGAAATGCAGGCTGTACTCTTGAAATAGTGATTGGTTCATCTTGTTTCGAAGAGTGCTGTGCGGGGAACATGTGGGTATATGGCTGAAGAGGACGACTAGGGTCTCATTAACGAGACTTGAAATGCCAGGCTGAGAGTTTTTCTCGCTTTGTTAGGAATTGTATAGGGACATTGTCTGATGGGTGGTGTTTTAGGACATTTTGGGGACAGCAGTGTATGGCTCTTCTATTATTAAAATATCTATATAACATAATTTTAAACTCTTCATTCCCAAGTCTGTTTTGTGTTGTGAAATATTATTATTTTAATTGTGTTTTCCAAGAACACCTGTAATTTGGGCTCATTTACAAAGATGACATGATTTATAAACTCTTTAGGTATTGTTTCGTTTGACCTGTATGCATAGCGTTTGCCAAAGTACCATGTATGGTATTTACAGATATAAATTTAATTAGTGATCTTTGGCTTTCATTGATTGAAAGAACTGGTGATGGCAATGGTTTCTGCTCCCCAAATTTGGGTACAGTGGCCACTAGCAGCTATTGTTCCTTAGATGTCTGTGCAACACAGATGATTTGAAGGAGAGGAAGCTAGACCATCCATCATCATAGAGCCAGAACCAAGACAGAAAACTAGCACCAGGCAGGGCAGGTTTGAGGGAACATCTCTGATTCTTTCTGTCTGCATCCCCAGGAAACTCCCTCTGGACTCTGAGACTCTGAGGGATGTAGCTACTGCTGCTATCCCAAGGGTGTTGCGCCTCTAAATGTGGCAGAGGTAAATGATAACAGAAAGACATTTTGTCTCCTGACCTCATCATATTGAATCAAAGTACCTAAAGCTTTCCTATAGACCTTTTCTCCCTCAAACCTTGCCTTGGGGCCCCCCTCGTGTCTTCACTCCTGGAACACACTCCTGTGGCTGTGGTGCAGGAGAAAAAGCCCAGACATGGGTGTTAGACAAGTCTGGACTCTTATCATGGTGTCTTTCACTTACTAGCCGTGTGACCTTGGGCAAAATTTCCTTATTCGTAAACTGGAGATAAAAATGCCTACCTCTTGAGAGGCGCTACATGTAGAGGTTAAGATCACAGACTCTGGAGTCAGTCTGCCTGGATTTGAAGCCCAGATCTGCCACTTTCCAGCTATGTGAACTTGAGCTAGTCTCTCTATGCCTCAGTTTCTTTGACTGTAAAATGGAGATCATCTGACTATTAGCCTCATAGGATTATTATGAGTATGAAATGGTTTAACATATGTATCAGAGTAGTGCCCAGCTATATACATGTTAGCTACCATTAGTCTTTCCAAGGTTGTGATGATTAATCAAAATAAACTATTTAAAGCATGTAGTAAAATACCTTTGTTTGTTAGTGGATTTCAGGGCTGATAAAATATTGGAGATGGACAGAGGCCACCTAGTTCAATCCACTTACCCACAAAAATTGGGGAGTCTTAATAGCAAGAATAGTAAAACTCAATCCGAACTCTGTTCTTGGAATTAAGTCAATGATTCCTACCTTTGACTATGCCTCCATTTCTTCAAGTGGGCTAACGCTAGCT